GTGTGTAACTGTGTGTGTGTGTGCGTGAGTGTGTGAGTGGAAATCGTACTGTGAGTGAAGTGAAGGTCAGGCAGATTCCTCCAAAACCATTCAAGGACACAGCCAGGAAGATGAGGCCCGACAGGACTGATGGACCAAACGAGAAATACCTTCAGCTGTGATGAAACCAAGTGTCACTTCCTGTCTACTTTCCCTGACCAGAGGTGGACGTTGTAAACATGTGGCAGTGTTATATCATAATGAGGAGGGAGGGTGGCATACTAAAACTACAAATATGTCTCTGCTAGAGTTTGCCTTTGTGTGTGCTGACGTGTTTCCTCACCTTCAGGGTCATACGCAGCAGCAGCTATTATGGCGCAGGAGGCTGCGAAACATGAACTGAAATACATAAAGACACAGACGTCTGAGTACCTCACATTTCACTCTGTTTGACACTAAATCAGGCATCCCTGCCAAGCTGCTCAGCCCAACAGTTAAATGATGCAATCAGCCCTCAAACCTTTTCACTCAGAACATGAACTAAAGTTTAAAGTGTCTTTGATTGGTTCATTTAGCTGTCATACCTGCCAATGAGTCTCAGTGGTCGTGGCCCATATTTGTCCATCAAGATCCCCAGGGGTAATGTGGCTGCGCTCAAGAGGAAGGATCCGATGGTGAAGCCGAGATTCAGTATCTCCTCTTGTTCCACACAACTCTTCCAATCGTTGCCCTGCATGAAAGTCGCATTCGTGTCCGCAGTCTCGTTTCCTGGGACGGGTCATAGAAGAAGCAAATCAGGACGACCAAATAAAGACCCCGAGAAACTGCTTCAGCTACCGAAAGCACCTCGTGCCACAATATCCTCATTTCTAGCAAGGTTAAATACTGCAAGGCTAAAGTGAAAGAGGCGCCTGCTTGTGGATGATTCCTGCAGTGCATTGTTTCTTTTAATGAAACAGACGTCATTTTACAGCGGTCTTACCAGGGCAAAGGTGAGAATAGAAGCCTTCCTTCTTCAGCATGATGAGCAGCGAGGCCCAGCCCAGCAGCACAGCAGAGAACAGCAGGTTCTCTACGATGGCTGTGATGGCCATCCACCACCTCCTCCTGTATGCCTGTGACAAGCTGGGAGCCATGACGGCTGGAGATACAGGGAAGACGTGAGTGTGATTCCTTGTCTCTCCTGCACAGTGTCCCCAAACACAGCACTGGACTTTTTCAGATCACTGCTTAAATCAACTTCTCTGGCCAAACAAGTCATTAACCCAGAGTCTATATGTAATAGATTACAAGTGGGCAAGTTATTTACTTGGAGGTCTTTGTTTGTTTTACGTTTCTTTGTCAGTGTCAGACACAACGCAGGAACACATCTGTTACATATACATGAACCTAAACTTGTGGAGTTCTTGCAATGCTCTTTGTTGGACTTGATTCATGCAAAGCTATAAGAGTAGCTTTGCATGGAAACAATAAACTCCTTTCACACTGCAGAGCTGCAGTTTGTGCTCTTCATCAGCCAATGAAACACAGGACAGCGCTAGCTTAAATATAGGTCACGTGACCACCACCAGTGACTGCATTTAATTACTCTTACTTCCTTTTGTCTTTTTTCCTCATGTCAAGGCGATGTGTATTACTTGTAGCTTTCTCAGCTGTTTGTGCTTCATAAGATGTTGTTTTCATTGGTTATTCCTGCTGTTGGTCATGGTCCTGTGACCTGTGACAGGTGATGACGAGCACGTGGGCCTGAAACATCAAGCACTAAACAAACTGGGAGTTCTGCAGTGTGCGAGCTGTTGGTGGTGGTCAGTTCCATGTGGTAGTGAGGACGTGCGAGGATGCTTTCCTGTTTGAGGGTCACTATATTTATGTTATTATTTTAAAAAAGCAGGTGGAGCTTCACCTTAGAGCTGTCACAAAAGGAATTATTGAGGGGGTAGGAAGGAGGAGGAGTTTGACCTCATATGACCCACAGTAGGAGCTATCGGGTGTCATCACGTTAGAGGGCATTACGCTGACTTTAACTTCATAGAGACTGACCCTGGGACTAACGTTAACCCTGACAACAGTGCCAGTAATGATGTAGGTCTGTCCATGTGTCAACATCTGCAAATAAGAGATCAGATCTTTATGAAGTCACAGTGTGGGCATATCCCTGATGTGGTCATATTAGCACACTGCTGTTCAAACCTTATGTTTTTGAGGGGCAGCCAATCAGAAGAAAGGGGTCCTTAAACGAGACGAAGGGCTAAAACAGCATTTTTCAGACAGATGATGACCTGCAGAGCTACTTTAATGTGCAAGAATTAGACTGCGTGACTGGAAAAGAGCAAAAATAAGCTAACTAGATGTGACGTGGCAGAACGGTGGTGCGTTGTTTGAATTGTTTCCTCACATGAAGACGATTCCTGGCAGCCTGTCTGCGTGGGGTTTGCATGGTCCCAGTGTGCCTGTGAAGTACTCTAGCTTGTACACTGGTTAGCGTGGTACTTAAAGGACCTTGAGTGGTCAGTAAGACGAGCCCAGCATTAAATAACTGCCATGCTTTTGGAAATGAATGAGTAACTTGGTGCTGTGTCCACTGTGGTCTCCACTCGATGTGATGTTTCTGATCACTATCAGAGGCGTTTCTTTTAATGCTGTTAGCCTGCTTTCATGTTTCAAAGACAAAAATCTCTTTACTGTCAGCAGTTTTAAAATGCGGACACAGAGAGGACACGTGGGAACGACTGAACAATATTAATAGTTACAAACAAAGACGTGGTCCACATTCATCAAGCACGACCTCCACTGCACGTGGCAGCGTGAGGTGAAAACAGAATGACTTACTTTACAAGCTGCTCTCCACCTGCAGTTGATCTGTTTCACACTTCTGCTCTGCTCCTCCTCTTCCCGACAGGAGAACGTTCAAACTCTCACGATGTTCGTCCCACTGTGCCGGCAGTATGTGGTGGCACATGTGTGAGCTCACATGGACTCTTTCTCTCTCTATAAATGGAGCTCAAGTCTCACCCACCCTCCTCCCTGACCTTAACACAGCACACACTTTTGGGCTTGCTCGGTCAGCTCGGCCATGATTTGTGGTTTGATCTGAATGAAGGCAGATAAAGTCGGCTGTCTATCAACTGATGCATTTTTACACTTTCAGTGAAATTCTTACTCATTAAAAACGATCAGGGCTTCAGATTTGACAGTTTCACTCTGATCTCAGTACAGGGCGTACTGGCAGCTTACTCACTGGACCCACCTTGTGGTGAACTATAACACTGTTGAAATCTGACACCTGTGAGGGAACCACAGAAGTCGTCAACCAAGATTGATGTGAGGCGTTTGCATTCATCACACCTTCATCTTATGTATTCAGTACAGTGCCCACATGTTTCCTGCTCCAAGTCAGGTGGCTTTATTGTCAGTGCAGCCATGTGCAGAGGTACAGTACACAGTGAAAGGAGACAACGCTCCTCCAAGACTGTGGTGCTACGACAGAACGATGCAGACTCACAACAGTGCAAAAGACTAAGCATTCTACAAAAAGAAGTGTGTGTGTGTGTGTGTGTGTGTGTGTGTGTGTGTGTGTGTGTGTGTGTGTGTGTGTGTGTGTGTATGTATGTATGTATGTATGTATGTATG